GAGCCATGGCCAGAGAACTGCTAGAAAGAAAGGTATATTTACTTGTTTATTATTTATTCAAATGCGGCTTCTGCTTCGAAGAGTCTTCCCTGGGCTCATTAGTCTTCCTTGAAAGCTCTTTAAGATTTGTTTCAACTGACCGGAAAAGATTAGGTTAATGGCTATATTAAGACACAAAACTGCAAGTCCCTCTTGGAGTGCGCCATGCATTCGGCAACCTGCTCATGGGTGTAGTGGCAGTTGAATGGTCATATGGTCCAATCCGATCACAGTTTGGGCTGGATGGATTCTGCTGGGTGTCATTTGAACTTTTCGAATTTTTCTTCTTATCAATCGTGAGCAGGCCTCTTTGGGATGCGCCATGCATTCAGCGGCCTATTCATAGTAATGTGGCATTTGAACGATTATATGGCCTTTACGGTGATCGGATTAGGCATAGAAGTTAAGTTAAAAATTGCCTGGCTAAGTGGATTTTTCAGACATTTTTTCTGTTTTTAAAGTTCGTGCTATTATATCTCCCTGGCACTAAGAAGTACTTTCCCTGAGCGAGATTCAGCTCTTTGGCTGGGTGTATGACGTAAGATCGGTTGTAATGATGTTCTGTTGTCGTGTGGCTTTGTAAAATGGTTATTTTTATGTTTTTAATGAGGCTCGAGGACACGCCCCCTGACCAGCACCTCTAAGCACGTGAGCAATAACTCAATTTTTTGTTTGAAATTACCCGAGCTTCACCTGTTGGACGGCTTTGATGACTTTCCATCTCTTCCAAGACATGAGAGGTTTGGGCGAACCTTTTTTGGAATGGTGTTGGCTTTCCGCAATAGTCCAACATTTTTAAAAGTAAGGAAAGCACGGTTCTCTAGGAAATCCCGCCCATTCACAAGTCAAACCCTTTTTATCGGACGAGATTATTGCTTGCTCTACTGCCTCAATGAAAGCGAAAAGGAAAAGCTTCAGTGTAGATGGCGATGCACCCAAACCCTTTTGCAAATCTACTTTGCTTTTATGAGAACTACAGAGCAGTAAATAGCAGTTTAATTCTTCTTAGAAAACCCTTGGAATCCAGGGTTTCCCTTCCGGGAACTCGTCAGAAGGAGTAGTGAACACAATCTGAGTCATAATCTTTGGTTTTGTCGAGTATCTTGTGGGATTCGAGGAGAATGAACAGAAAAAGTGACGTTGTCATAGGAAATAGGACGGCTTTGGACTCCGTGAGCTCTTGGAAAGGAATTTAATCACTTAAAAGCTCCATAAAAAGTAAAGATCCAGTTAAAGCGAATTGCTGCTTGAGGTCTTTCGAGGAAGCCTGGACTTGTTGCCATGAAGCGTATCCGTCCTATGGTCTAACCAGGATGCATAATTTGCCTATAAAACAAATCACTGGAGCCGTACTAAGGGACTTACTTGTAGTTCACCGAACAGTCCATATGATCATTCAAATATCACCCCACCTATGAAGGGCCGCTGAATGCGTGGCGCACTCAGAGGAAGACCTAAATACACCTTCAATGGTATGAAAATTTGGGGAATTTCATCATCATAATCGTCTACCTTGATGTCTATTACATACGTAATGACCGTTAAACTCCTTTGCCTTTTGATATCTACCCTAAAATCCCATAGATAAGAGCGGTTTAATTTACCGGTGAAAAGTGAATTGGAATGACGTTGAAATTGAATGCAGTCACCTCTCTGACTTGATGGATGGATAAATAAAAATCGGAGAAGAAGTTTGGAACGAGCTCCGCCCCTCAACTTTAAACCCCGCCCGCTTAATAAACAATTCATATAGAAAAATAGCGATTTTAATGGACGGACGCGTGTGAGGGTTTAGTTGGCGTCGCCCTCAAAACCATCATTTCCAAAATAAAATTTTAGATGGTACATATGAAGGGTTCCGGGCTAGGCAGACCTCAATCCCCATTAGATCGATTTAATCCCGTAGATCAAATTAATCCCTACCTTCATGGGTAACCTGTCGACCTTGAGTGAGTTTTGGTAAAGTTGTTAAAGCTGTAAAGTTATCTGCCATCGAGGAGACCTTACTGCCTTCGCATCTATAACTCTGCTTACTGGGACTTAGTAAATTGGTAGCGGTACATGTACATAAGCCGTAGTTTACTTCATAAATCTCTCTGGTGCAAGACCGATCACTACAGTGTAGGTCAAAAAGTTTTCGATTTTTTTTCGCCCCTCCCCGGTCAATCCGTAAGCCAAGCGCTTTTCGTCTCGTGATTGATTTTTGTAAACTCGATTTTTTCTATTATTTTCATCCAATTAATATTCCAAATTATCTTATAGAAAGTTTCAAATTATTTTATGAAGAACTCGTTTTTCTAGACGAATGTATGAGATGGAGTGGGCTTGAATTTCCCATTTTTGCCATCTTCTGCTCATCTTTTTTTTTGGAAACCAGAACTATTCCTTTTTGTCTTTTTGTGCAATGATTTGTTTCTAAAAATTTTCGTTTTTGAATCATATCAGTTCTACTCCCCTGGAGAATTGCCCTGGATTTCCTCCCTCTAAGTTGGAACAGCGCCATACTGGCTCTGACGGTCATTCCATCGTCCAAATGCCTTTCATCTCGTACTTAACCTTTTATAAACTCATAAACTATTGTTATTTATGGTTATTTCAGTACAATAATTTTCCAGATTATCTGTGACCCGCTTATTTACCTAGCTGCAAGTAAATGGTAACAAGTGGGAAGTGGTCATAATTGACAGTGGCAAGAAGGGTAGGCTTTTCCGAAAATCTCCTTATCCTTTATTTGCGATTTTCTCATTATTATAGTCATTTTCCTTCCAGGAAGCCTGTACGTAGTTGTATCCCAGCGATTTCGTACTTTGACCAGCTTTTTTGGACTAACTGTTATGGGAATGTGAGAGAGCGGATAAGCTGTGGACGACGTTGAATCACTGCAGCTTGAGGTACGCCAGCCATCATATTTTATGGTCAGAATATTGAGTAAAAGTAAGTTTTTCTTACTTATTTCGCCTATTTAAGAGGTATGGAACGAAGAAAGGGCTCTAGTATCGGAGCCAAGGGATCAGTCTAGTTTTTCGTCCTTTCTAGGCCCTGCCAAGTTTGGCTGGCTTCGTCTTTGCAGAGCTTGGTCTTTCGCGGGCTCTGAAAACTGGCTCTAGTCCTACTCCGACTATGAACTGATCCCGGACCTTAATTAATCTAGAAAAAAGACCAAGAATGGCCATTCTTTATTGAGTACATTCAGCAATGCAATTGAACAAAATGAGAATTCCTATAAATCCGAAGAACGACCAGTGTGGGAGCTTCCCACCGTTCCCACCGAACTCATTATCCTTTGCTTTCCTACCGAACATTTTCTCGTTTCTCTTTTTTTAAATTTAATAAATCTCATCAAATTCCACCGTACCACCCTCATCGAGGGCAGTACGACAAGGATTTTTTAATTTTTTTTTCTACAAGATAGCAATTTTTCCTAATCTTCCCGTAAGGATTAGGGAGAGTATCACTCCCTACTCTCGATCGATCTCGAAAAGATTTAATTCAATGGGGAGGGGGGAGTCTATCACTCGGCGATAATTACCATTTCAACGCTACCCTTGTGCAGGTGAAAAAAGGCCTTTTTACCCGAATTGCCCGGATTTTTTTGCCCAGACTCCTCCTTCCTGTGCAGGCTCACCCCCGTCTTTCATCCGTTCCTCTCCTACCAGTTCTCTTTTGTTTTCACGGAAGTGGACGGGATTTGATCCCGGAGCTCTTCATCTGTCGAGTGTGCTTCGTTTCCGCTCCTCTCAGCCTCCTCGTTCACCTCACATCTCTTCCGTGCCAATCAATAACGCCCTCCTTGTCGTCGTCGTTGTCGTCGTCGTCGTCGTTGTCGTTGTGGTCGACGCCCATCCGTTCTCCCATAAGACCTCCCCCGACGGAAATCTAATCATTCCCGGTGTGCTTTACGACCCCTCGACTGGTTTTATTTATAAATACGTGCGTAAATTATGTTAGTACTTAGGAAAAATTTGGTAAAAATCACCTGATTTCGGTATTTGTTGGATATTTAATATTGCAACTATAATTATAATAAGTTTGCAATTTATCTTATGTGAACTGCATCAATTTCTATTACCATGGTTTACTACTAATTATCATAATAGGATATCTAAAAATTTTTTATACTTGTTCGAGTTGTAATAAAATTGAAATTGGGCATAAAAGATTTATAATTGCCTCTGTGTTATGAAAATTGATCGATATATCGATTGAGTTATAGGTGTTCTGTATTTACCCACATACATCTCTAGAGCCAGTGGGTGGAGACTGGCGGATAATTATGATATTTCCTCACGTGACTGAGATTTGACGCCTCAGTCAAGCTTATGGCTTCATATGATTAATGCCTACATATTCAATTTTTACAATTTTTTTGAATTTTTCTTTACCACCATTTTTCCTGAAAAATTTCTCGAAACAATTTCTATGACATTTATCGAAAATCAAATCAAATAAGAAGCTTCTTTTTTTGCTAGTTTATTATAGTGGTAAGATAGGGTATTGGAAATGATACGCCAGCAATTGTTGGGCACGGGGGCCAAATCCCGGGCCAGTTATTGCTTGAACGTATCAGGCCTTTTATTGTATCTATCCAGATTAGAATAATTCATCCAAAATTAGCCTCTAAAATGGAACTGTTCCTTGGTCAACACATGGCCCTACTAATCATTTTATAGACCTACAATGCCTTTCTATTCCCAGTACATGTGTATTACAGTACCTTTTAGAGATACCGTAACTTCAAACCATTTTGAGATACCGTAACTTGGAGCAAGCCAGCATTTACGTTTTACAAGAAGAAATTTGAACTATTAATTATAAAAGCAGGTTTTAGTACATTTGGGAGGTGTGGAACAAGTAAATGATCACAGTGTTGGAATAAAGTGACTGGACTATCCCCATTATCACCTGTATCCCCTCTCGTCCCCTTAATCATCGATTTCCTCGAGCGGGCGCTAGTAACGTCTCTATTCGTCCCTGTCGAGAGCCGGAGTAGTCCAGTGAATCGTACTCCTTCGAGGGGCGCGGGGCAAGACACTCCTTTCGTTCAGAGCTTCCTTTAAGTTGTCTGACCATCGCGCTGGTGGCCGTCCTGGTGTTCGCTTNAGGGATCCATTCGTAATCGCCCCGGTCCAACGGTCAACTATATCGCATAACATGACCGGCTCACCTAATCTTTGATTTCTTGGCGTAATCGAGGGCATCTCTGAACTTCGTTCAATGTCGGAGCTCGGAATTATGGATTCAATTTTGCACTTGCTTATGTACATAGTGAAATCCCGGGCATCGTCTTTTCTCAGCGCGTTCAGTGTCATGGTCATCCTGCTTTCGTAGAGTCCAAGTAGGGTAGAATAAATAAATGGAGATAGAAATTTGATAGCCCGTTTCCAGAGTAGGATAAGAGTGACCGATGTCAAGCACTTTACTCCTTTTTCTTTTTCAAACCACGCTTCACACCGTTTCTCCTTCTGATCAGGGGCGTGACTTGTGAGTGGGTGGGATTTAGAGGATGCGGCTCTGATTGTTACATACCAGGCGACTGACTCGCAAGACTGCATTCAGTTTCTGAAAAGGCATTGATCCATTCAGGCTATGAGGAACTATCACTTCATGTCATGGCCCAAACATCCTCATACTGAACTGGTTACGTGAGTAGTGCAATGTACTACAGGTTTCCATACGAGTATGGAATCAGCTTCTTGAATACCAAACGGTCTTGGATCACCATTCTTTGAAGCCGTTCAAACGTTTCTGATTCCCAGTGTAGGTTGAATGCACGGCGTAGTTTAGGTAGTTCATTTTCGATTGTTTTCTTCCGTCAGAATGATATTTGTGCTTATTTTCGACTGCCCTTCGTCATGTTTACTAGTATCAGATTGTTCTTTTTGTCTTTCTTCGGCTGTTCGACGAAGTCTAATTGGTTTCATTGTGGTCGATGCCTCTTCAGTGTCTGATACATGCCGTTCTATTGTGACATTTCTCTTGTCTGTCTCTGGTTTTGACATAACACAAAAGAATCTGACTGAGGGAGAATGGGACAAACACCTCTCTCTTCTCGAATTTTCATTTTTTCCATTGATTTCCTAGGCAGCCTGTTATGTTAGGATTTAAGAAACCTCACTGAGCGGTCCTACCCAAAGGTCCTACCCAGAGCTACCATATTCGAGGCTTCCTCAAGTTCAGCGGAATGAGAACCATTTACTTTACTGTTTTTGTCATTTGGATACCTACAAGTGCATAGCTTGCCAGGTACTGATATGATGGCTGGGTAAACTTTAGGTAGCTAGCCAGGCATTCCTGAAGTATACATGGACTTATTTTTAGGACGGATTGATTTCCCCAATTTCAATCTGATTTGTAGCAATTGCAATCAGCTATCTCTATGGAATCTCAGAGGAATTCCGATCTTTCTATGGGTTTTGTCTTGAGAAAAAGGCTGCAAAAGGTCGTTCTTCAAGATTCAAAGGTATGCTTCATGATAGGAACGATTTCTGCGGTTTCTTCTGTGATGAACCTGTAGCACCTAAGGGACGCTGTTGGGTCGGAAAATGGCTTGCAGAGGGCGTATAAGGGTCTCAAGTTCAGCTTTGTCGACTCACCCACCCAAAGGTGGACGAGTTTTCACGACGTTGTAGTAAGTGCAGAAGGTGCGCCATTCGCACTGAGGCGCACACGGTTTACGCAATGTTACTGTTGCCAACTGCACGTACATTTGGACAGCCCTTCCAAGTATCTTTTCGATGCAGCTTTTGTCGTCACATTCTTGTCCAACCCCTAAGTTGACTACTTTTTTGAAGCCTTATTTTTTTCGCGTTATTCCTATGTCACCTTAATGTCATTCAGGATGTATGGATTTGGCTTATATTAATTTCTGCAGCTAGCTGTTTATCTATGTCATGATTAAAAGCCGTTTAGATTACTCTTATTCAATCTGAAAAGGAATCCGGTGTTTCCATGGATTTTGTCTTTAAAGGAGCTCTTTTTCAGCTAAGCCAGGGAAGATTAATTTAGAAATGAAAATGCTCCCCCTGTAAATCCTCCTTCCTTGGTCACCTTAATGTCATTCAGGAATTTTCTGCTCAGGAGGCCTTAGCCTTGGGATCAACATCGTGTTTATGTAATAAGACTTGATGCAGATACTGCGAAAACAATTTCTCGAATCATACATATAGTTATTTTTAGTAAGGCTATATAGGAAATATCAAATAATTAATTTTGTTTATGTTTATTATCTGATGTTCACTGTTTTGTTTGTTTTGTAGAGACTAGTGCATCTTCTTTTATCTCTAAACTTCGCTTGATTGTATTCGGAAAGAGCTCCTGGCCTAACGGGGAGTGTCTTAGGAGAAACTATTTCCGTGAGCTTGTGGACGATATGAAAACAAATTAACAATTATAAACAGTACGAGTTCGAGTCCTGTCTGAGGCCGAAGGTTTGCTCATAACTCATCACGGTTGTGGGACTCTTAAAAAGGCAATTCAGCTCCCTATGATGAGACTTTGAGGGATTTTTTAGGTTCTTCAAACTTCGTTGGGGCTTTCTCTAGTTTGCTTTGTAATTGGCCATGGATTCAGCGAACAGAAGAGACTCTCCCAATTAGCTGGCTGAAGCTCATTTGAGAATGTCAAGCTTTACCCAGAAAGGGAGCAACTTCTCCCATGGGGCATGAAACAGGCATAGACTGCTGACGGTGAAAGCAGGACCGCATCGACTTTGTTTTGAGGTTTAATCGAAGGAATTGGTAGGATACTATGCCCTTTAAATGAGGAAGGGAGGGGGTGCGAGAGGAGCAGGAAAAAGTACTCTCAAAACTCCGGTCTCTATCGAGAACGCTGTGTCTCCTCTGTGCCTCTTGAAAATGGTCCACAATCATTTTGCCGTCTCTTTATTGACGGAATAAATGCCTCGTTTTTCAGACATTCACAAAATATTGAACCTAACGACACACCAACGCTAGTACTTTCATATCGTATCAAAGTCACCCCACACCGCATGGTGTTAAAAAGCCCAATGGAGGAAGCAAAATCCTTCACAATTTTTTTGCAGTTAAGCTAGATTATTAATGTTCAAAAGAGCCCCATGTTATTATTCATTTGTTCATATGTTTATGCTTATGTTTGTTCATTATCAATATGACCACTCAATTTTAATGTTGTTAGTTTCTCGAGATTATCAGCAAACGCATCGGAGTGTATTATAAAAAAGGAGGTGGCAGGATATAACCGATGATCCTTGCATTACGCCATACGCTGACGCCAGCAAGTCTCATGTGGATAAATACCCTTCCGATGTGTTCTCGATTCCGTCTTCCTGACTGAATCTCCGCCATCCGAGAGCATTCCTTCGAGCCTGGTCTTCTTACGGTTCAGTACCAATCATGGCAATTTGTAAGTGATCAATAAGAAATTCAGG